TCCCACAAAAAGTATAGGGGGGTGGAGGAGTGGGGGGGGGGGGGCACACATTTGTTTGTAAGATCACACATGTGATAAACACACCACCAACACGAGGCTACATTTGGAGGGCCCAACGATCAGCCCATCTCATCTGGGTCGACCCCGTCTCGCATGACCGCGCAGAGCTAGCAGCCATGGGTGGTCTGCGGTGGAGCGACAACACCAAACTACGCACCACAATCTCACACTGGGCCTGTGTTCGAAACCAACTGGTACCAACTAAGTACTTGTACTAAGTACGAAGTCTAGATAACTTGGAGGGGGGGGTGACACTGGATAACCATTGGGATGAGAAAGATGAGTTTAGGGTGAAGAGAAAGGAGAGGAGGGGGGGGGGAGGGCAAGATGATGTAATAAAGTGGATAAGAATCAACTTTAGGTTAAAGGTCAAAAGGTAAAAACAAATATTTCTCACCTGGATCCGAACTCTGGACTTAAAAGTTTAAAGAATTAATTAAATTAGAGCAAATTAGTTAAATGGCTAGGTTAAATCCAGATATTTCTTCAAGACGAACTAAACTAATCCACTTCTGATGTAAGCCGCCCTTATAACAATGTACAATCCTAGAGAAACGATTTAGATTATCTTCAACAATATCATAATGGGGAAGGTTGTAAGGGGGGGAGGGGGGAGAAGACGGGTAGTAAGCTGTGTATAATATTTAAAAATAGACCTTCCGTCAGAGTGACAAAATGGCTATGTAAACTAGGATAAAGGTGGGTGGGATAAAGGCATTGAAAAATTGCCAAGATTCGCAGTGGGGGTCACGACTTGCCCTAATTTAGACACCTATTCAAGCTCTATTTTAGGCGCTTAAATGAAGAAACACGCTCGGAGGGGAGGACACATAAAACAATGTCTGACGCTTTAAAAAAACGAATTTAAAACATGAAATGCAAAGAAACACACCGGAACTGTGCATTATAATCCAGTTGAAAGGTGAGGGTTGGGGGATGAGATTAAGCTATTGTTAAAGTTACTATGTTTGCCATCAGAGTATTACCACCACTTGCAACATCTTAAATATTAATAAGATAAGCAAACTGAAAACATGATGTATACGCTGAGACTTTTTTTTTCCATATAGAATACTTCAGATTGAGTGGGGGGGGGGGGGGGGTTAGGTTCAGCGAAGGTGTAGTGGCAGTGGAGAATCAGAGGCGTAGCGACGAGGGGTGCATATGTCCCCGGGTGCCGACCCTAAGGGCGCGAAAATAAGCTCATTTTAGCTGCTATTTTGAATTATAAAAATAAAAAATTTATTGGGGGGGGGGGGGGGGGGTGGGAGGGGCAGATGGAAAGTTTGTCCCCGAGCGCCGGGAGGGGTCGCTACGCCTCTGTGGGAGAATACTGCTATCTGATGTAATGGGAGCCACGTTTAGCTAACGACGCGAGTTTGTACTAGCTGCCCACTTCATCATTGTCTTGTTGGTCAGTTGTCATTCGTGTTGCTACTACCTTCCCCCCCCCCCCCCCCCCCGTTACAACAGCACATGATGTCAATGATTGTATCGTACTGTAAAGGGTAATTCAGACGAAGTCATCGAATCGACGCGATAATGTGTTTCTTTATACACCACACAGCACCAAAACAGCCTAAATCTTAATAGAGACTTCATATCGTCAAATTGAACCAACAATTCCGAACTTTACAGACTTTTAACTCGAACATAAGGACAGTGTGATCATTATTACGAATGCACTGCTCATCCCTGTTTTACGATGATGTACAGCTCACCCTTAACTCAGCACACAGGGCCAAATACTCATATACCTAATCTATCACGTGGTGCTCATTACACCACACCTAACTGATCATATAGGGCCCAATACCCACACCTAACCTATCATATAGGGCCCAATACCCACACCTAACCTATCATATAGGGCCCAATACCCACACCTAACCTATCACGTGGTGCCCATTACACCACACCTATCATATACTAGTTATAGGGCCCTATACACCACACCTATCATATAGGGCCCCTCACTAACACCTAACCAATCATATAGGACCCCCCTCACCCACACATATCATATAGGAACCCCTCACCCACACCTATCATATAGGACCCACTACCCACACCTATCATATAGCAGAACTCAGAACATTCTACTCACCCATGACTTAGTCATTTCCCGCGCAAAGAACCACCCCGTTGATCTTTCATTGAATGGAGCTCACACCCTTCAGAGTACCAGGAAACTGCGGCTGGGAACGTCAAGGAATTTCTCTCGTCTGCAAATGTTACCTATGTGCTCATGTTTGCGGTGCTGATTGCCCTCTTGATGTTTATGTTGCATATATACAACTTTTGGCTAATGTGGGCTAAATGTACACATTATATATATATATATATATATATATATATATATATATATATATATATATATATATATATATATATATATATATATATATATATATATATATATATATATATATGTGTGTGTTTGTGTTTATATATGTACAGTCTGTCATCTTGATGTTTGTGTTATAACAACCAGCAAATTGCGCTTTAATGTTCTTGTAATAATAACAACAGCGGTGTCCCTTATTGTTCATGTAATATTTAAAACAACCAGGATTTTTCTGATTGAATAGACATGCAGCATTTACAGTCGCTTGTGATGTCATTAAACGCTCATGTAATATTTACAGCAACTAGCGAAAGCCGAGTGAATATCCATGCGATATTTACGCCAATGGTTTCAACCATGTATCTAATCTATATGATATATTTTTTTTTTTACAAATTTCATCAAGGAAGCTCTTTTAATGGTAACGCCATCCGGCGGTAATTAGTATTTAGCAGACGAGTGTATGCACACATTGCTGACTACAGCGGAAATACGATTTAATAGATAATTACTTTCAGGTTTTTTTTCAAAAGTAAGAGAACACAATTTTTGAACCTTAACCATGAGTTGCTGTTCTTTGAAGCCAAGGCCAAATGACATACTAAGCAAATAAATCGGCCCATCGCTTGAAGCTGGCGGTAATTAAATGAACCCTATCTCTATAGGTAATGTAAATAACCGGAATGGGGACGAAGGTTATGTCGGTTCGGGCGGTGGGAGGGGGTGGGTGGAGTTGGTTATCTAAAAAACGACATAATATGGGGGGGGGGGGGTGATTTATGTTGATTTATGCTTAATAGCAATAGGGCTAGAGGGAATATTTTTACTCGGAGAATGTTCCAAGAAGTAGGGTGTTTTAGTGCTGGAATTTATAATTGTCTCGAAACTATACATGGATATAGAGAACTACATCGTATTGAAATGAAACTGTGTAGGGATTTAGATAAAACACCATAGAGAGAAGGAATTATCAGTCATATCAGGACATGGCAACAATCAGAAAACACTCATATATCGAACCGTTACACAATGTTCAACATAGACCTCGAACAAACCTATTCAGAAAAATAATATGGACTCTTATATACTTTTAAGCACTCGAGCGTAATTTCTATAAGGATATAGATCCACTAAAACAACGGCATTAAAATATGCAACCACATAGATGCAAGACAAGGTGCTAACATGAGCCACACTGACATGCATCCACACAAACCACATAAATAAGAGATTCACAGAATCGAACGGAACCACACAATCCACACGTTCTTAGAACCACACAATCACACGAGTTAGACAAACATTTACACACAAAAACCAACAGAAATAAGAGATACACAGAAGTGGAACCACACAATCCACACGGTCTTAGAACCACAAGAGCCACACAACCACACGAACTAAACAAACAAGACTCACACAGCGAGGAATACATTCAGGTGGAGCCACGAACCTGGAGCCACCCAGACATGCCTCCCCACCCCCTCCCCCAGACTAACGGTGTAACGGTTTGTGAAAGACCGACCTGGTTGTCTGGGTTTCAGCTGCTAAAAAAAAATACTTCGCTGAGTCATCGATTTAACCATCCCGTATGCACCGTCTAGCCGGTGATGGGAAGAGATAGGTTCGAAGCTTCAAGAATAGACTTCCCTCCCTACCTTCCACCCATTCGCCTTTACTTCAGGCATGTTGCAAACTGCTCACATTTATGACACGTTTGGTGCACAACAGCACTTGTTTTTATTAGTCTTGTAAAAACGTCGATAGAGATCTAAACACGAGTTTTTTTTTTCTCTGCGTGTAGAAAATCTATATCTGATGGGTTATAGATCTAGGGTTAGAGTAAGTGTAGGGATATTTATTATAGAAAAAAAAAGTTGCATTTTAATCAGAACTCAGTTTTTATACTGTTTCTTCAATGTATGACATAATCTGTAATTCATAAAGTAATGACATAATTCTGTAAAGTCGTGGCAATCAATTTCTGAATTTCTGTTAAGAACTCTTATGTAATCAACATGCAAAATGCAATTAATTTTAAGCACCATTGAAAAATAAGCACAGTTTTTTTCTCTCTGATACAGTAAACATTAACTAATGTAGTAATTCATTAATAATGGTATCATAAGTCTAATAATTGTAATATTAGTAGGGCCCCCAGTAGCCTAACTAGTTAAAAATTCTACGTTTAGCAAATAAAATAGGCCCAAATACTAAGATATATGCCTACAACTACAAAACAACTTAGCTTATGTGTCTAATTACTTAAACTGTTAGCTAATTAGCTTTAATCGTAAGCATTATTTAACAAAAAAAAATCGGACTAAGATAGTCTACTAAAAACGACAGTGAGACAAGTTATGCCACAGATCAATAAGTCATCTCAAATATTCTCGCTAATCGATATTTTTATTTTCTCATTCATTCTTTTGAAGTAGGCCTACGCTAACGAAAAGCATGGGGAAAAAACACAGAAGGGTAAAAAACATACTTGTTTTTTTAAAACTATCTAGATCTCTATATAAGTGTGGTGTTTTAATAAATAGTATGCATGCATATAAGTATACGGTTAAAAATCAACTTGAAAACAGACCTGCCTTTTGTAGAGTCAATGTGTAGAAATAGGTCAGCTCTCGCTGGAGAGGTCACGGAGAGTCCACTAATAATTAATTATTCTTTGTCGAATGTTTTCAGCTTTGTGCAATGCAAAAAAATGCAATCTTTGATTTGTCAATTTTTATTTTTGCTCTGCAGTAAACAATCACTAAATATCAACAAAATAATGAAGCTAAAGAATCCACAGTACACTTTGAATATATAGAAATGAGTACACCCGGCGGCCTGTCAACAAGCTACGAAGGAATTCCTACGAGAGAGGGGGGCTTTCCTGTATTTAGACGATTTTATTGGTCCGCCATAACCACGCCCATTCGAAAAACTATGAATCACCAAAAATAAAAAAGCGGGTTGAATCGAAACGAAAGTAAAATTATTTAGGCTATAAAAATTATCATTCAAATAAAATTGCTAAACAGTATCGACTTTAAAAAAATATAGAAACGCTAAAACAACATTTTATCAATATTTCTTCAAAGAATTATAAATATTTGAATAAGGTATAAATAGTTATTTTGGTCTTTCGTATCAACTGGTTCCATGGTGTAATGGTTAGCACTCTGGACTCTGAATCCAGCGATCCGAGTTCAAATCTCGGTGGAACCTGATCCTTTTTATTTTCTTTTTTTTTGAAACTGTCGTTTTGATAACATTTTGGTAACATGTTCAGCAACTTAAACACTTACCGAAACCAATTCAGTTTTGATTATCTTTCAAATTGATAGTTAGTCACTAAAACTTATATTTAATCCAAAATGTATTATATTTGTATTAAATTTTAATTAAATTAAAATACTTAGGCCTGATGAATTTCAGGTACATGTATTCATGTCTATTATTTGCTATCGAAATTGCGATTCAAAAATCAACATGTGTCCTTTTAAATACATTGTCACACACTTCTTGAAAAAAAATACTTTTAAAAAAGATCATTAATAATACAAATATTTAGGGTTATATAATATATGCCTTATCAATTAAAATAATCTGTAATGCATTTTAGGACAGTAAAAATGACGTTCTTTAGTGGTTGAAGGGTATTTTGTATTTATATATTAAAGTGGTTTTTTTTTCTTTTGTTTATTTAAAACGTAATTTACTTATTAAGCTTACTATATTCTTTTGATTTATTATAAATAATAACATCATATATGTCTTTAAAAAAATTGGACTTAAGATATGAATTTGATTATTGATTTTTTGTTTTTGTTTTTAAATTTTCACTATTACAATCAAATAAAATAACGCATGCTACTGCGTCAATTAGTGAAAACAAATCATTAGCACCCCATAATTCTACTGCTATATTTTTTTTCTATTCTACGAGGGGAATCCCCGGGAAAAACCAGAGTTACTAAATTTAGAATTATCCGTACGATCCAAGCCTCAATGACATTGCATTATGGGTAGACGAGGTAAGTCAACTGTTACGGCAATCGTGACATGGGACCAACGTTGTAAACAAACTTTTACAATGAATCGAATCCAGAAATGTCATAATTTTTTTTTTTTTGCACCATTAATAAAATAAAGTTAGAAACTATATACTTAGAGAAAATAAATCGCACATTTTTTTTCAAGCTAGATTTAATGTATTGTAAAATATATCTATGTTGATAGCCTATATTATTAGATTGCTTTGTTTATTTTCAAAAGATGTTCTGTTGGAAACAAAGGGAGACGATCTAATGGTCTATCCCTGCTGTTTGCTTTGAATTAGTGCATCATCGTTTTCTTTTTAATAGTTATTTGTAATTAATTTTCTAAGAACAACATTAATTGAGTTGTATAATTAATAAAACATAAGTTTAAATAAAATTGCATGCAGTTCATGCTACACTCTAATAATGGGCCTGCTTGATCAATCTGTTGTTGACAGTTATTAGGCTAGTCGTCATTACTGAATGATGTTGTTATGACGTCCTAGTTATTGTAAAAATGGAAACTTTTTTTTTATGCTGGGCTACAAAAAATATGTTTGTGTTTTAGTGTCAAACTTGAAATTCTTCATTATGTCGTAATGTTAACAAATAATAATTAAAAAAAAACCAAAACAACAACTACCAATTGCTGGGTTGGTACTATGTTTTTTTTTTTTTTGGGTCTTGGTAGTGGGAGGGGGTGGTGGAATAAAACAGACTAAAATTAGTGGAGGAGGTATATATATTTGTGACGACTTGTAACAGATGAAATGTGGTCCTATCTAATTTTATATTGCGTGTTTGCTTATTTTTATTTTCGGTTATTTTTCCATTTAAAAAGGCCCCGATAATATTATTCCCCCCCCCCCCACACACACCCAAAATAGACTACAATTTACGATTTTAAAGTGTTAAAACAATTCTGGTGATTAAATCGTGATATTGGACTGATTTCTTTATTAAGAGAGACATTGGGTTCAGGATGTGTGTTTGTGTATGTTGGGGGTGGGGGGGTGGGGCTGAAAATTGAAACCCCTGTTTGTTTTACCTCCTACGTGCCCCCTCAAGCCCTGCAGCGATCACGTGCTATGATGTCAGCAATTGCATGGGCTTTGGTAGCTGACTATCCCATATTGGTTTGATAACTCATAAAATATTTTGTAAAAAAAAAATACGTGCAAAATTGCATTTCACAATAAACTATCTAAAAACTAAAAATTTCAAGTTCGTTTCACGCCGTGACTACTTAGAATGATTCATGTTTTTCATGAATTAAAAAGATCATTTGACACAGACATGCACACGACACGCTTGAAATAATTTATAAAAAAAAAAAAAAAAGAAGAAAACGTGCAAATATCACATGATCTAACACAGCCCTACAATAGAAACGTGACATATTTGAACTCGCATTGAAATGCATATTAACACCCCCTCCCCAACTCCCCCCCCCCCCCCCCCCTCCAAACCTTACGGTATCCAAGCCCTTTATCTATAAAGGGAGATTATGCGGCGTGCAAGGATCGTTCCCGTTTTAAAGAAATCAAGGTGACTTAGTCAGATCGTGATTTAAAAAAAAAAAACGGCAATAAAATGAAAGTCATCTACGATAAAGTGCTTATAAACTCATAAAAATAAAATGTAATAGATACCCAAGTACATTCTCCCGTTATAAGTGTTAACATTCAAGTATAGTTTGACAAGATAGTTAACTGCACAGCGTTTGTCTGCCCCTGATTTTTAGATCTTTGTTAATGTTTGCAAATATGGAATGATTAGACATTCAATCAATGTTCTAGTGTGTCTTTGAGTGTGTGCTAAAATGAAGGTTGTGGAGGGGGGGGGGGGGGGTTGTAATTTAGTTCATTTTTAGTGTTATTTTGGGTCTTTTAGCATAATTTGCAAGTTAGAGATTTAGTTGTAAGAGGCCTTGATCTGAGAGCCTAAGTAAAAATCTCTTAGCATTGTGGGGGCTTATGTTGATCATCTAAAATTATGGAGGCTTTAATGTTGATCATCTCCTAACATTGAGGAAGCTTACGTATCATCTCCTAACATTGTGGGGGCTTATGTTATCATCTTCTAACATTGTGGGGGGCTTATGTTGATCATCTTTCAACATTGTGGGGGCTTATGTTATCATCTCCTAACATTGTGGGGGCTTATGTTGATCATCTAAAATTATATAGGCTTTAATGTTGATCATCTCCTAACATTGAGGAAGCTTACGTATCATCTCCTAACATTGTGGGGGCTTATGTTATCATCTCCTAACATTGTGGGGGCTTATGTTGATCATTTAAAATTATATAGGCTTTAATGTTGATCATCTCCTAACATTGAGGAAGCTTACGTATCATCTCCTAACATTGTGGGGGCTTATGTTATCATCTTCTAACATTGTGGGGGGCTTATGTTGATCATCTTTCAACATTGTGGGGGCTTATGTTGATCATCTCCTAACATTGTGGGGGCTTATGTTGATTATATCCTAACATTGTGGTGGCTTATGTTATCATCTCCTAACATTGTTGCCAGGCAACCAAGGTAGAATATTTACCTTATATTCACACATGTAAATCTGCCATCCATATCACGTGATCCTGGAGAGTTTACTTTTTTACACTACATCAAGCCACGAAACAAAACTAGAAAATCTAGATCTTATCTACTAAGTAAGTACACCATAAGCAGCAGTCAGAACGTCAGCCATTTTCCCTAAAACGATCACAAAGTTCCAATTTATTTCTGTGCATTCAGCTGAAATTAACTTGCATGTAAACAATGACTAGATCTAATTGAAAAAAGTTTTTGTAGTTAGTAAAGTTAAAGGAAATGTTTTTTCCCCCTCTATTATCCTTGATAAATATTGTTCAGTGATTTCTAATAAAGTTTTTATGTAATTATTCATTGCGCTAAAAAAACAATAGCATTCTTAAATTAAAACGTTGCAATATCAGGGAATTGTGTGTGTATTTTGAATAATTTTAAACTGGGATATACAATCTATACTAAACTTTGATTTCCCCATTTGATATGAATATGAACAAATATCTTTACAAAATTCTCTATTTAAAAGCATTGACGTCACATCACCACATGACATCCATTCTCCCCCCCCCCCCCCCAACGTTCCAAATATCACCCGGACATACAGTGGCTGACCAACCCATGTGACGAAAAAACGCAGCAACGCCCCCCCCCCCCGCCCAAATCAATCCAATCCTTTAACACACCCCTGGTACGAAGAGGGGATTTCCCTAAGAAAACCAGAAAAGTTTCTTCTTCACCTTCGCTCTTCTAAATAAAAATTATTATTGCGTACTTAATTAATACCTATACCAGAATTTAATAAGAACAATAAAACGAACTATTACGTCAAGTATTAGGATTATCTTTGTTCTATATTGAAGAATTCACCCGAAAAGTTAAACATTGATGCTGTATTGATTTTCTGCAGTTTTTTTTCCAAGGCATCTTATCGGGTGGGGGCGGCACTGCTAGAAGCACGTCCACCCCCCCCTCCCCTCCCCGTCCACCAAAATGTAATTTATATACAACATATATATTTTAACCAGTATTAGCCTCCGGAAATGCTGCTCACTTATTAGTTTATACCGAAAACAAATTCCCCTACTCACAAAACCATTCAAAGTTTCGTTCACACTTTCTACTCCATGGAAGGGGGTGGGCGCTTTTGAAAACTCCCGGGAGTGGGTAAGGCACTTCAAATTTCGGGGAAGGGGGGGGGGGAGTAATGGTTAAAGTACATCGTTTCAATTTTAATATTATTCTATGTCGTCCGGAGCGGTAAACGGGCTCTGTGG